TTTTCATAAAAGCACGGTTGTTAAATTTTAAGATACTTTCTGTTTGTCTTATTGTCTCATGGTAGCATAGCAGTTCAAGTATTGTGTTGTCAACCTAGGAATCTATCAGTCATGGTTAATATGATAGACTTTTCTGGTAAATATTCTTTAAGAAAACTTAACCTAGATTTCTCATAGGTGGACCTTTCTGGAAACTGTAGTTTCTAGTTTGTGGTGATTTGTATAACCTAGCTTTCGATTTCATAAATTAAACAGTTCCCTTTAGTGTAACACTTCTTTTTGTCTAATAATTTTACTTCAAAAATAAAATAGTATTTTCTTTATCATCAAACAATGCTGCTGTGATTGATGATGACATACTTAGTCTTAGTGGAATAAAAGGACATGAAATAACCCTGATCACATTAGTTTGAGGACATATAAAAAAGTTTAATATTTATGATGTTTGATCTAGTATACTTACAAGACTATCAAAGAAATATAACAGAGAAAATTAAATTTGTATGAAGGATTAAATGCTATTAATTCAAATATTTAGAATTTTTCAACCTTCTAAATACCAAACTGTTATTATAGATTTACTACCTTATTTTCCAGATTTCTAATCTTATTGAAAAAGAATAATACAAACAGTACATTGATATGGATCTTTAGGCTTAACACAATCCCACTACCACTAAAGTTGTCCCTTTTAATTTTTGTTATTAGACAATGAGCACATAACCATGGTAGAAAAAACAGATGAGTTAAGCAAAATGAAGGAAAAAGTTACCCATATAGCATTAAACACTATTAAAATTTTGATGTGCTATGAGTGTGAAATGGAGACTGTTTGGGGGTGGGGAGGAGTGCAAGTGGAAGATGAAAGAAGGGGGCGAATATGGTCAAAGTACTTTATAGATGAAGGAAACCCATTAATGTTGTTCAAACAAGTGTGAGAAGGGGGAGAAGAAAGAGTAATAGAAGAGGTGAATTTGATCAAAGTATACTATATGCTTGTATGAAAATATCATAATGAAACCCTTTCAGACAACTGATACATGCTAATGAAGTGTTTTTGAGTGTTAAAATACCATTTCTTGTTGATACATTTATTTATTTTGGAGATTGAGTCTTGCTATGTTGCCTAAGAACTAGTAATCTTTGTGCTTCAGCCTCCCCGGTAGGTAGGATTACAAGCATGGGACAACATGGCTGGCTCATAAATATTCTTCTATTCCCCTTCCTTCTAAACTTTTCTACCTCTAACTTCATAGTGATGCATTGTCTGGACACTATTATATCCCCTCAACAAGAGAGCATTTTTCTGTAGTAGCTGGTCTTATTAAAGAATCTGCCTTGTAGGCTTTGGTTAGAAGTAAAACCCTTTACTGGGCATGGTGGTACACACCTATAATCTCAGCACCTGGGAGGCTGAGGCAGGAAGGTTGTGAGTTTGAAGCCAGCCTGGGCTAACACTTCTTTTTGTCTCATAATTTTACTTCAAAAATAAAATAGCATTTTCTTTATCATCAAACAATGCTGCTGTGATTGATGATGACATACTTAGTCTTAGTGGAATAAAAGAACATTAAATAACCCTTACTAGTCAGTCAGATGCTTGTGCTCAGTATTGAAAAATCTCCAGCTGTTCCAGGCATCTGTCTATTAATTGTTGCCATTCAGAGGGCTAACATTTTTTCAATGCCCAACACTTCTTTTTCCTTCCTGATGCTTTTTAAAGGTCTTTTCCTATTTATTTTGAACTTCAATGAGAACAGGAAAAAAAGTGATTTTTTTTTTAAACTTCCTTCTCAAATTGTAGCTTTTCCCCCAGGGCCAATTGCCACACTGACTCTGGAGTCATCCTTACAGGAGTCTCAGTTTCTTCAGTGGTTAGTTTACTCAGTCACTGAGCTCTTGCTCTGCTTGTAACTGCCATGTTAGTTCTTGAGGCTTTCCCATTCTTTAGAAGGTGGGGAGCCTGTCCAGTGGGATGGCATGGGGGTGGGCATTTTCTGGGTAGGTCCATTCCTATATCATTTTTCTATTCAATAACTTGGGTGGCTGCAAACAATGAATGAATGTCCAACTGCTCTCTTTTACTCATCATCTCATAAAAGGGACAAATTCTCATGTGCCCTTGATTCTGGGAGGCTCAAAGGCAGTAAAAGTCAATATTTTGCTGTGGGATGGTTTCCATTTCTATTTGTGCATTCCAGATCCCTGCCCCTGCTAGATACTCCACTCATGGACATGTTCCCAGAAATTAAAGTTCCCAACTGGAAGAAGGGAGTCACAAACTCAGATTGATGGCAAGCTTGGCCTTCTCTGCAAGCCAGAGCCCTGGCTTTGGGGGACCTACTTTGGTTTTCCCAGACAGATGGCTTGGGGCTGACTTAACAGTTATCAGAAAAATCCTTCCAAAAAGTTTCCTTTCCTCCAAAATTAATTTGTTTGGAATGTTCATTAGAAGATTAACATGCTGACTTCTTGCCAACAATTGTTTGAAAACAAGTTGTTTATGTACATAGATAAAGTAAAAGAAATTAGGAAACTAATTAGCCCAAATCTGTACAGGAAGTATTGAGTTTGAGTACTTTCTTAGCCACTCCTAATTTTGAGTAACCCAATCCCTATAAATTCTACCCCACTAAGCTCAAATTTGAATCAGTTTCTTATTTCTAGTAAGAAACAAGAATTGAAAGACAATGAAGCAAATCTGACTTTCTATTAACTATATTCTCCACAGGAATAAAGGTGGCTGACAAAAGAAAGTAATTGCTCCTATTCAGTTTTGTTGTATAGGTTAAATTTTGATTATGTTACAATAGGACTTATTGATCTCTTGTAGCTGATGAGGAATTTTTCCATTGGTCTGAGAATTTTCATGTGCTGATAATGCCTGGAATGTGAAAGAGTTAGTATAATCAACCCCCCACTCTCCAGTAGAACTTTGATGCTGCAGAATAAGGAGCCCTAAAAATTAGAATGACTTTCATTTGAAGGCCTCTCATATCTTAGCAATGAATCCTCTGGTATACTTGCAAACAAATTACTATTTCCTAGAATACTCAATTTTGTTACCATTTTTGAGCTATTGAGTCTCCAATCTGAAAGAGGGACTAATATTAATAGGATAACAGCATGGCAAGGAGTAGGAACAGTCTTTCCTGAAAAGAGAGATTGGTGCCAATTAAGGATATTTTGCTCAGAGCTGCATGTTTGGGATGCATTTGATAAAAGATCATAGGTTTGAAAGTGGAACTAGAAGTGTAACTTATGGTAGAGCATTTGCCTGACATGTGTGAAGCCCTGGATTTGATCCCCATTACCAAAAGGAGAAAAAAAAAACCCATGGGAAAAAAAAAAGTGCAAAACAACTCCACGTTATTAATTCATTGCACCGTCATAAACTCTTGCTAATCTGCTTTGGGAAACTTAACATTTTTTTCCATTGTAGTCGATCGTAGTTCTCTTTGTAATCTCAGATCTTGCTCAACAAATGTCCGCTAGAGTGAATTGGCAGTGGTTTGGACCAGCGTAATTAGGCATAGTTCTCCTCATCTGTGTACCAGTTCTCCTTGTTCCTTCCATAGAATTGATCAAGTATAGAAAGTAAGCTATCTTCTATGATGCGTTCACTCATCTGCAAATGTAGGGGAAAGGATACTATAAAAGAGTTAGGAAACTTAGATGTGTCCTAGCTCTTCCTTTTGCTAGTGAGTGACATGGGGCAAATCAAATATTTTCTTGATATTTTGATGTCATTTTACCTCTTGGAAGTCTGGATGTTAGAAATACATCTTAAGACTCATCTACCACAGGAGGAAAAGTGGGCCACCTCATCTCTTCATCCCTGCTTCCTCAGTAAGAATCAGAAGGCCCATGGTATCCTGTAACCTGAAGGGGAGAGCAGCTTTGGTGACGAAGGGGTGGTGGTAGAGGGAAGTGGGCTGAAGGAAGGGAAACTTGTGTGGTAGTGATATTTATATGTAGAACATTTGTTCTCTTGACTCAGAAGGTGCCAATATTATGGTCATACCATACAGTAGGGGAAAAATAACCAAAGAATTGAAGGAAAACTTTGGGAAATGACCTTGAAAAAACAAAACTCAGAATGGATAGCTTTAAAAAAATTGATGATTGGCAATATAATTTACATATAAATGCATAGGAAACTCAAGAAAGGACTGAGCCAGGGTTACCTCTAAATGCTTCTGTACATTTTTTTTCTCATTTTCTTGCTCATATTTTCTAAGGAACTCTACTGTATAATGAGCTAAGATACTACTATCTGTTTAATGTAGTCAGTTAGAATTATGGGCTTTTTTCTACAGAAGAGAGGAATCAAAAATATAGAATTAAAGATTGGTTCTCTAAGCTGGGTGCCAATGACTCATGCCTATAATCTTAGTTACTCAGGAGGCAGAGATCAGGAAGATCAAAGTTTGAAGCCAGCCCTGGGCAAATAGTTCTCAAGACCCTGCCTTGGAAAAAACCATCACAAAAAAGGGCTGGCAGAGTGGCTCATTCAGTAACAGCACTTGCCTAGCAAGCAAAAAGGCCCTGAGTTCAAGTCCCAGTGCCACGATTAGTTCTGTAAGAAAAGTACATTTTTCCTGAACAAGGGTGAAAAAAATCCTATTTGATTCAGGGGGAGATTTATTGTGTCATTAGGTGAAAGATGTAATCAAAACTTCATTTTGTGATTGCATATTAAAAAGGAAGAAATAGTATGCCATAAGCTAAGTATCAGGTTTGATTAAAAACTACCACTTTTTATCTTCTTAACAATCCTTTAAGATAGAAAACACTATTCTCACTTAAGAAATGAGGAAATTAAGGGTCAGAGAGTTTACATCATTTGCCTAAAGTCATAGTGTTGGTAGCAGATCAGGGATTCAAACTACAGTGATTTTGAAATTTCTGTTTTCCTGCTCTCTTATGCTCTCCCTCACTAGAACTTTACAATATTAACAATAACACCATTTAAAGGGCTCCTATTTATTTTGTAACAGGCACTGTGCAAGAGCTATATGCATAATTCCATCTAATTATCACAACAGACATAAGGAAAACCTATTTCCACTGTACAGATAAAGAAGATGAAAGGCTGGAGGTGTGATTCAGCTGGTATTAGCATTTGCCCAGTAAGTACAGGGTTTGATCTAAGATCAAACTGCAGGACCACCAAATTAATTAGTAAATTAAGAAGCTGAGATTTGAAGAACTTAAGTGACTGCACCAACAAACACAGGGCAATAAGTGCCCTCAAAAAGGAATTGGGATCCTACCATGCATGATCCTGCCATTTTTAGTGTGGCTTAGAGAACCTGTGGTCTGCTGCTGTGTAGTGGGTGTGTTGGTTCCTTTCTTGGTGATTAGTTCATAGGAAGATGAAGCCCCTGTATTGACTTTGCCTCAGGTGATACCTATTTCCCAAGTTGCTTGATTCAGAAATCAATAAAATTCCCTTCATGGTTTTCTTTTACAGTTACTTACCTTTCTGGCTGGATCTTTGTCAAGTGTCACTGCCCTAGTGACTGATATCAGATCTGATATGTTGGAATTGAGAACGAATGTTACTAAAACTGAGACTCAGTGCCCAGAAGGCCAGTATCGTGGGGGCCAATTCTGCTGTCTGCCATGTCCACCTGGTAGGTTATACAAAACATCAAGAGATCAGCATGAACATCAGGGTGAGGGTAGCATATGATAGTAATTAATATAATATTTTTATAGCCTTTGGTTCTCCTGTAATCTATAGTATTCCTAGATAAAAAAAACCTGAAATTATTTCCCAAAGACTTAATTTTATTCATCATTGACTCACTTGTTTGATGTGGTTACAAATATATAATTTACAAATAGCATATACTTCAGAAATGAAAAGAGCTCTCTACCTCCATTTCTCATGAGGAAGAGTAGACTCTTTCGTGGGTATTGAAGCAAATCATCTCAAAACTGGCTAGGATATGTCATACTAGTGGTGGAGTTTGGAAAGCAAGGGACTTCCACTCTTAAAGGTTGTGTTTCAGAACTTACCTTCAATCAAGTCTCTAAGAAAAGTCTTTTTGCTTGCACTGAAGCCTGCAAAATTCATTTGCATTTTGTAGCTGAATAACTAGATGAACTAGAAAAGCAATGAACAGAAACCAACAGATTTTTTGAAAAATCAGCATTTTGAAATGCAAAGTAATTTCAGACCGGAAATCCTTCAAACACTATCAAATTACAGCTAAGAAAAATGCATTTGTGCAAACTTTTTTTCCAACTTGAAGTTAATTCCTATTATATACAATTATGGACCTCTCTCAACTGCATTGTGAAGAAAGGAAGGTAAAAGAAAATACATGGGCTTATGCAACAGACTTTTGCTGTAGACTGATAGACTCTAAAAGAACTGTAATAGGTTTCATGGTTGGTTTCCCAGGAGTCCTGCACTCAAAGTGCAGAACAGGCATGGTTCATGTGTTTAAAAAGATTCTAACAGTTTCTCTTGGTCCCCCATTCAGATTTTAATAAACGTTATGGAGAACTCTCCCTTACAATAAAACTCATTTATACTGAAACCCCTTTACTGTTATGCTTTTTCAAACAGGAATAAAGAAAGGTTTCCTGGCTTTTTTATAACTTGCTAAACACAATCAATTTGCTCTATGATTTGAAATCTTCGTTCATATTTTTTATTTTTGTTTGTTCATATTTTTAAAATCTATCATTTTAAAAATCATATTTAAAAATTGTAATACACCACAAATAAAATCAAAGATAACAGACTTTGCACATCAAACTGTCAAGGATTTTTTTTTCTTTTTTAGTTTTGCTTTGTTTTATTTTCATTTGCAAAGTGATCTTGCCCTTGGTGGAATAAATGGGTGAATAAAGGGGTCAAAAACGTAAAAATGTTTATACCCTTGACACAGTAATTAATCTATGGGGCAATGCCTCAAGAAACTAATTATCATGAATTATTACAAATGATATGGAATTAAATAACTGAATTCTGGAGTAGGCTGGAACCATATGTATCAAAGTGTATTACTATTTCTAAGAAATAGAATTAACCTATTTCTTTTTGTTTGTTTGTTTGCTTTTCATACTGGACTTGAACTCAAAGCCTACAACTTGAGCTTCTCCACCAGCCCTTCTTTGTCAAAGGTTTTTTTTTTGAGATAGGGTCCAGAGCCTACACCTTGAGCTACTCCACCAGCCTTTCTTTGTCAAGGGTGTTTTTGAGATAGGGTCTCATGAACTGTTTGCCTGGGCTGGCTTCGAACCATGATCCTCCTGATCTCTGCCTCCTGAGTAGCCAGGATTACATGCATGAGCCTCCTGTCCCAGCTGTAGTCTGTTTTTAAAATAATCCTCAATTATAGAAATCCCTTTGGTGACTGCCAAAATTTTTATTTGGTTTGCTGACTGGATTAACTGCTTCTCTCTGACTGCTGACTGGATTAACTGCTTCTCTTTGCTCCTTCTCTAGAATATCCTGGATAGTATCAAAATGCAGGCCACTTACTCTTTCCACTTTTATTCCCTCTTGTGGAATTTTAGATCTTTCAATATTCAATTTACTTCCAAAACTGTTAATATTCATTGGTGTTTTGCTATTAGTGTATCATTTAATTGACTATTATATAAATCAATGAAATATAAATACTGAGAAAAGATGAATTGTATTTCCAAGAAAACTAGGTTGAATATTTTGGAGAATTTCAGTCATCCATACAGACTATCAGTGTGTTTAAACTTTCATTCAATCAAAAAGGAAGGAAAGGAGTGAGTGAGGGAAGAAAGGAAAGAAAGAAAGAGAGAAAAAGAAGGAAGGAAGGAAAGAAGGAAGGAAGGAAGGAGGGAGGGAGGAAGAAAGGAAGGAAGAAAGAAAAAGATAAACAGGAAATCACAGGAGATGCATTATGGATGTGATAAGTAAAAAAGAACCTGGAATCCTAATAACTTGGCTGTACAGCACAAGATTGACAAATAACTATATAGTGATTCTTTATAAATTAAAATAAAGTACAGTATTTTTCAATTATTCTGTATCTGAACTAACATTTTTGATTGATTAAAAAGTTCCCACTATATCATTATCATAGGCAATAAGAAAGTTTCACAGTATATTACATACACATTATATATACACACACATCCATTGCATGTGTCTGCATATCTATGTATATTTATATGCATAGGAGTGCAATAAAGTAACTGCCTATAAATATCTCAAGGTAGTTGATATATATATACTTTCTTGCCTTTTCTAAACTTTCTGCAATAATCTGTTAGTATACTCAGAAAATAATGTATTTTAAAATATTATTTTCAGGAAAATGACCACTCATTTTTCATATTTTAATAAATTTAGGCTATATACTTTAGAAGAAAGAAAGAATCCTATTTATTGTATCCCTGTCATGCTGAATGCATTCTGAAAGGTAATTCATTAAGCATTTCAATTCATTTAGAAACCCATGTAATACCACCAGCTAGAAATATAATTTTCTTTCGCTCTGTTTTCTTTAAACATAGCTACAATGTTATATAGCCCTGATGCCCTAGGTTTTAATTTTGTTCTGGGTTTCCATGGTTTGCTTATTTTTTATTAGCAAACTAATGTCTTTATTTGCTAAAAGATCACATACATTAGCATTTCATAATTTGCTTATGTAGTGTGTGTTTTGTTTTATCAGAAAGAATGCTAGGAGATTAAGTGAGTCATGTATGTAGGAAATAGCATTAGTTATGTTAGCTATATGTGCAAGTGGAGCTGATTCAACTTTTCATATCTTTTTAATTAGTTATACCATTAAGAATTAGAGTTGCTAATAATGCTTTTCTCTTACATTTCCCTTCATATTTTGAGTCTCTTTGTTCTTCACTCTGTATCCACTTACACTTATCTAATTTTCCCATAGCACTTATCACCACTTGACATCAGGTATTTATTGGTGCATTATCTGCCTTGGTTTCTAAGACCTTGTGTTTATTCCTACAGTATCCCCAGCTTCTAAAAACTGATTCACACACAATAAGCATTCACTATACACTTGCTAAATATGTGAATTTTCCAGAAGAAAATGCTTGGTAATAGTAAAGTACTTATTGTACTTTAAGGTAAACTATAGCAATATTATTCCTTTACTTAGTTTTTAATATTTATAATTATATTATGAATATTATTTAAAACAGTTTGTATACGAGTGAATATGATCAAAGTACATTGTATATGTGTTTGAAAATGCTATGATGAAACCCATTAAATGTATAAAAAAATCCCAAAAGATAGCAAACCTTACAATGAATTTGTTATAAATAGTTTGTACTTGCCCACCAAAATGTATTTTCTTCCTGGACAGAAAAGAAATCTAAAAGAAGGAGAGAAAAGAGGAAACTAGGCAGGATAAGTGCAGTTCTAATAGCATCGCAAGAGAAGTATTATCGTCATTGTACGCATGACAAAATTTAAGCTTAGAGAAACTAAGTGCTTTGTTAGAAATTTTATAACTACTAAAGATTTGAACAACCTTAGAACTTCATATGTTCTTTTCCTTAATCTGCGCTGTCTCTTATCAGGATTTGTGAACTTTGGAAAGTAACATGAGAAGTCAGAACAAAGTGAACTAGCTTGATAATCTCAGTGGTCAGTGACAGCCGTATTCACAGGAATACATACATACCTTCCAACCTCTCCCTTTCCCCAGAGAAAATATTTGATCAAATCATTTCTTCTAGGGCATTTGATCAGTCTAACCTTCCCCCAACCTCCACCCCCTTTAAAAAATTCTGCTACCGTTTATCATCCTAGCTCTGTAAGAGTATTCCTTCACTCATTCTGCTATCTTTTATCTTGGAAAGCTTCCTGGCTCTTGAGATTTTTATAGTAACTCTCTTCCTCATTTTATTTATTTGTAGGCCTAACACTCCCTCCTAAGCAATGGTGGGGTGTTTTGGTTTCAGGACTGCTTATGCACTTGAAACTCTGCTAAATGTTTGCTTGGCATTTCAACCTGATACTGACTGCTTTGCTATTAAAAACTAGTTATGTTACTGAAAATGTGATTGTATGAATGTTGATAATAAATAATAGATCTCACACATATGAATGTTTTATTGTCATCCCTGCATACTTTCCAGGCTGTTACAGGGCTTCCTCCCCTTCAAAAATTGCCCTTTTTCTTCATGGACAGGCAAACGAAAAGATGCTGACTGCTTAAACAATGGGGAGAAGTCAATCTGTGTGCCCTGCAAAGAAGGGGAGGAATACACAGACAAAGATAATTATTCTCCCAAATGTAGAAGATGTGGATTTTGTGATGAAGGGCATGGTAAGTGTCTTAGGGAACAACTGAAAGAGACCAATCCTGGCACTTCATGTAGAACCACTTATAATACAACTTGAGATTGGAACCTACTCTGGTGTTATCTTGGCATACAGGAGTGGGCTAGCTGGAGTAATGCAGGACTGACTAGTGGGTCAAGTCTCAGAAAATTCTACCAGATGAAGACAAATGACTAAATATCAACCCTATGAACAAAATGTATCAGCTTCAATCAAAGCCACATAATCTATTTTTCCCTCCTTGTTTTATCCTTGTATGATGGTTTTTGTTCATGACCAGAGAGAGAAAACCAAGATGTGAGTAGGATGTTCCCTAATCTTTGTGGATCTGGTTTGTCCTCATAATTCTGCTTGGGAACCTAAATTTTCATGTATTTTTCAACCTATTCTGAACACCCATAATTAAAATTAAAATTATGTTACCCATAAGTAACAGAAATACTCCTCTTTTGTTTGACATCAAGAAACCTCTAAATATAAAGCTTTTCTTTTCTTTTTTTTTTATATTGGTAGGGCTGGGGTCTGAACTCAGGCTTCATGCTTGCAAAGCAGGAGTTCTGCCACTTGAGCCACACCTCCAGTCCAATAAAACTTTTCCTGTGCCTATTCATGGTGTAAAGTAATATTTTCAACCCTGGCTGTGCATTAGAATTGCTTAGGGAAGTATTACAAATTCTAGTATTTAGGTCTCAGACCACATCAATTAAATCAGAATCCCTAATTGGGGCCTTGACATTGGTCTGATTAAGGCTAAGGTATGGCTTGACATTCCAACCAGCTCTGGGTGATGCTTCTGCTCACTCTGTGGGCCACATATTTGAGTAGCAAGGCTCTAGACTAGTGGAACAAGAGAGCCGTTTAAACAATGACAAGAGAGTGTTTCAGTTTGGAATTGTCTATCTGCTTAAAATTCTGCTACATGTTGCCAGTAATTTTAACCTTGTGCTGCCTGTTTTGCTATTAAACACTAACTGTTACTGAAGGTGTGGTGTTATGACTTTGATAATAAGTAGTAGATCTCAAAAATCAATGCAACACTTGCTCATTATTTTTAACAGCTCATTTATAACTAGTTGTTGTAATTAATAGCCTGAAAACTGGTTTTCTAGGATTAGAAGTGGAAACAAAATGTACCCTGACCCAGAATACCAAGTGCAGATGTAAAACAAACTTTTATTGTAACACTTCTCTGTGTGAACACTGTGACCCCTGCATCACGTAAGTTTTGGTCTTTCACTGATTTAAACTCTAAACATTCCTTGAGAAATGGTGCCTTCCTAGAGAGAAACTATCCTGACTGAGAGCCAAGAATTAGAGGTCTTGTCATATTTTTCCTTCAAGCCACTAGATGACCATTTGCTCATTCAAACATCACTGAAGAATGAACGTCATTGAAGACTTTTCTCATTAAACATTATTGAACACTTTCTGTGCACTTGACACTCCATGGCTGCTTATGCTAATGATATGAGCAAGACACATTCCTGTCATCAAGGTCTCAGTTCTAGAGATAAAGGTAGCCAAAACAAAGCAAATGGTTATTGAATCTTAGCACCATGTAACAAGCATAAGAAGAAACATGTGCCCAAGGTGTTATAAGTCATCCAAGAATTCAACCCTGTCTAAGATAGCTATGACACATAATTTGAGTCTTAAGGAAGGAAAGAGACAGCATTAACAGTGCATGAGGGTGGACAAAATAGCCCAGGAAGGGAAAATCAGCTGCAAAGAGATAGAGAAAGCACTGGAGAACAGGGTACCTTGCTGGAGGGTAGACAAGACTGGTAAGAAATCAGGGCTTACTTGATTCCCTGAAGGGCCTTTTATGGTAAATTCCCTGGTTTTGATCCAAAGCCAGAAAACTTGACTGTGCATCTCATGTCTCTGCTGATTAATTGAGTTAGTTTGAACAGATCACTTAATCTTCCTAAACTTCAGTTTCCTCACTAATTGGATGGGCATAATGTGTAATTGATTCTATCTGTCACGTTTCTGTAGCGATAAGTTTGGGTAATCTGTGTTGTAAAAGCAATTTTGGGGGCTGGGAATGTAGCTCAGTGGCTCAGACATAAATGTGACATGCTATCTGAAAAATACTTAAAGCAAAAAGAGCTAGAGTCATGGATCAAGTGGTAGAGTGTCTGTCTAGCAAGTTCAAGGTCCTGAGTTGAAAGCCCAGTACCACCAAAAAAGAAAAATCAGTATTTTAAGCGCTAGTATTTTGGGTCCAGTTTATTACCAGTTTTGTGTTTATTTTTGTGTCTACTTCATCCTCTGTCTTGTAGGTCAAAACTTTATCACTTTCTTATAACTCTTGATATCTTAAAACATAGAGTAACTCATTTAAGATAATTTTTTCATCCAAATCTCCAAATTATGTTATTAATTTCCACTAGCTTTATATGTTAGTCTAGAAATATTTGAGAGAAAATGTTTTCCACTAATGCAAAGATGAATAAAGTGGCCTCTAATTTATAATGTGCCATTGGAAAATGATGAAGGCTGTCCAGGGTTTTTGAATTTCCTGTCTTTTTTTTCTAGGTGTGAATACGGAATCATTGAGGAATGCACACCAACCAGCAATACCAAATGCAAGACAGAAAGTAATCATTTCTTTGTATGATTATATTCCCTCTCCTCTCATCCCCACCATCAAATATGAACAAAAGTCAATTGGTTTTGATTATCTGAGAGCACACTACTTTGTTTAACCTTAAAAATTCCTTATTTTCATATAAAATGTCCAATGTTCCATGCTACAGGTTCCAGATATAACCATCTGTGGTGGTTGCTCTTAGTCCCGATTTCAATAGTTTTGGGTGAGTTCTTAACTTTTCAAACTGTAGATTGAATAAGACTAAAATACTTTATATGTATGTGTGAAAATAGAATGATAAAATCCATTAAAAATTTTAAAAAGGAGGAGAATAAGAAGGAATAATAGAGTAAATTTGATCAAAGTACATTTTATGCATGCATGAAAATATCATAATGAAAACTTTTCATACAATTAATATATGCTAATTTTAAAAAGAAGAAATGAAGTGGAAAGTAGCTGTTCCCAAGAATTTTCTACTGTTGATCTCCTGCCACTGAATGCTCCCCTGGGAGCTCAGGGGACCCTTTTCTGAAGAACAGGTTTCGGGAATTGAGCCATATTCCCACCCTCCTCGTGAATAAGAATTGTCTGCAGTAGCACAGTTGGCCAAAAATCAGAAGTAATCCTTTGCCGTGTATTTAGATTTCCCCATGCATTTAGGAAACACAAAAAAGCAAGGGCCTTCCCTGGAACTGCATATCAGAAGATACTTGATAAACTTATTCCTCTTTGTGCCTCTTCTTCCTTATCCAAATTCCATGTTTTTAACAGTATTAATACTTGAGTCATTTGTGAGTTGTGGACTTGAATTTCTAAGCATTAAATTTCCATGGCAAGTTGATTTCAATTGTCCATGTCCTTTGGTTCCTCTACCTTGCTGTAGCCAAGACACCCACCTTGCAGGAGAGAGTGTTAATGGCCATACAATAGTCAAAAGCTGATTCACACTAGGACAGAGTGTGGTAATTGGATGACCCAATTAAGATGAAGCTTGTATCTAGAACACTTGACTCAGTGGGGCGAGATTAGCTTAGTGCTTTTCCTGTCATGTTTGGCAATTTTAAGTTTCAATGATCCTTCTTCCTTCTTACACTTCTCTTAGTGTGAAAATATGTTCTTACATGCATCTACCAGGCTGAGAGCTGAGTCTGATAGAAATTTCTTTGGTCTTTCAGGGATACTTATAAAGCGCAAGTATCAAAATTGTGGACACAATGATGAGTCTCCACCCTCAAATCCTGTAGGTATTGAAATATGCATCAGCTTTCTTGAAAAAAAAAAACAAGAGAAAGTAGCAATTCAGCTTTTTATTACTTTCTTATTTTTTTGTTGCTTTCTTTTAAACAAAGGTATTCTGTGTTTGTATATACATGGGTTAGAGCAGCATCAAAAATGAATTAAGACAGGGTAGCTAAATTATAAGTAAGCTTCTACACAAATACTGTAAGAAACAAAGGAGGAAGTGGAAAAGTCCTGAATGTGAGCTAAAAAAGGATGTGACAAAGCTCTATGTTTCACATTGGTGTTATCCCTGCAGAGAGCCACCATTTACCAAAGTATGGATTCAGTATCCAAGCCCAGGCAAAGAGATTGCTCTCAAAATACATAAAAAATGCACAGGTCTCCCCAGTAGTACACACACACACACACACACCCAGCATAGCTCTACTCTCTCCAGCTAACTTTTAATCTCTTGCTATATCTATTTCTAATACAGGATGAAAGCAGTTCAAATAGCAAAAAGATACATTGGGAAGAGAAACCAGTTCCAGTTACTTGGATAATTTTCTTATTGAGTCTAGTGTTTAGGGGAAATTACAACTCTTTAAATCAATATAATACAAAAATTTCAAATTGAGTCATTTTTGGTGTCAAAAACAAAAATAATTTTAGTGAAGTAATTTTTAAAATTATTATGTTTATTATTTTAATAAGTCCATGTGAAAAACAATCTCAGCTCATTCCCCCATTCCATGAATTCTTAGGTTCCTTGTCTTTGTGAAAAATGAGTTAATATTTCTTAGTTTTTGTCAAGGATGGAACTTTTCAAATTAAAACTTTGAATGATCAAAAGAACCCTTCTTAATCACTTAGTCTAATTTCCTGATTTTATATATCAAACAGCTGATCATACTTCATTCAGAATTAAGGAAAAATTACATGATGTTTAAATATGTTTTTATTTATCTTTCTCCCTCCCTCTATTTTTTTTCTTTCCAGGAAACAGTGCCAATGAATTTGCCAGGTAAGACTTTTTATCATTTTTTATTTCATAAATAGATGTCTTCTTTTGTAAGAATAAGTCAATTTTAGAGTAAAATAATGACACTAATTTCAGTGATATAATGTGGATTTCGCTATTCCTTGAGTTTATAGTTCTTCTTGCTCACCATCAAAGGTTTATCAGGTGGTTTGTTTAAATCTATAAAACTAATACATACTTGAAAATAAAAATGCTAGAAATAGAACAGTGTATTTCCAGGCCTAAGAAAATTTTCCTTCATAGTCAGTTAGAAAGATATATTACAGAGTTCCTGCCTAAACTAACACAGGTATAAACTGAATCATAAACTCAGTTATTATTGGTGTACCCAATAGAGGTTAAACGAATTATAGCCTTAGCTATTATAAATGAACCCAACTCTGAAACTACACATATGACTTGTTCAGTTCTTTCTTTTAACCTGTGATTCAGCTCAATCATCATAAACATATCCCTTTAGGTTTGTGAATCATTAGTCATCAGATCTGTAAGGAACAATGGAGGTGACCTTTTTTTAAACCTCTTATTTTAAGACGAGATAGAAATATACAGAGACTTTATGTGTCGTGCTCAGTTCAGATACCAAATTCCTGGGGACACAGCAAGAGCTGGAATTACAACTCAAGGTTACTTTGCTTTTTGTTTTTTCATCATCAGCTGTTTAGACCTCTAAGACACACCTATATTCCTAAGAATGATAAGGGGAGATATGAACATGGTTTTTGGTAATGGGAATTGCATTTAAAAATTGTTTTCAGAGATGATTTTCTGTTTTTCAGATGTTGACTTGAGTAAATATATCATAAGCATTGCTGAACAAATGAGAATAAATGAAGTTAGGGAATTTGTCCGGAAGAATGGTATCAGTGAAGCCAAAATGGATGAGATCAAGAATGATAATCCCCAAGATACAGCTGAGCAGAAAGTCCAGCTGCTTCGTAATTGGTATCAATATCATGGGAAGAAGGATGCCTACAAAACCTTAATTATAAATCTCAGAAAAGCCAATCTTTGTGCTCTTGCAGAGAAAATTCAAGAAGTAGTCCAGAAGGACTTTGAAAAATCAACTTCAGACCTCAAAAATGAAAATGAAAGACAAAGTTTGGTCTAGAGTAAAACTAACTCGGTTCTGACTATGTATAGTCAACAAATACAGCAATGAATATGCAAAAGTTTTTAATAGCTGAAGGCTGTAAATATTTCTTGGCTTTTTACTTGGTACATTTTATTTGTTCATTTGTTAGATTTGTAAAATTCATATATTTATAAATTTTCAGGATCTTATGATTGTGCCTTCAAGAATGTTTAAAATCCAGGTGGTAAAGTCAGGCATGATCAAGAACAAATGCAATTTCATGTTAAGCCCCCAAAAAGAAGTGTATGCAAAGGGGAAAAGTTTAGGATTACACTCTACTTTCTAAGATGATCCTATAGGTATGAATATAATTAGTGTGTGTCAATCCCTAGGCTGACCCCATTCCATGAGTCATAGAAGCTGTGACATTTTGTTACAATGCTATAGTCACCAGAAAGGCCGCTTTACTTCTACATTACCTCCTCAATGGTTACCACTCTGAAAGGAGCACATTCAGGCAAAGCTGGCATATATATTTCAGTGTGGAATTTAATAAAGTGCTACCTCAAAGATTGTTGCACATATCACTGGCATTTTATTGTGCAATACTTCATTATGAAATTGCATGGAAAATGCAGGTAGAATTATAATGCTTGAAAACTTGCTATTTATATGCCATTTTCCTGAATCAAAATATTCTACTTCTTTCTCAGGTACCACAAGCGTTTTGAGCAGGAGAATATTACTACAGCTTTACTACCCCTCCATTTTTTCCTTGTATTCATCTTGATACAGCTTCATGCACTGCTAAACCTGGAAGGATTGCTAAAGAAATTCTTAATGATCTCATAAAAATCATGACTACTCTTAGAAATGCTAGCCTCATCCTGAGAGACTAAACTAGTCTTATAGGAGGTAGTTTATGGCATATCAGGAACCCATGCCTGTTCCCACTCTACAGAATATTCAATAACTTCCTATGTGTTCTCTCCCTATGGTTGCAAATGGCTGCTTATACCTCACAAAGGCAAAATCACCATCAGGTTTTAGGAACTGTTCTTGTTACTCTCTTCAGGTTCTTAGACAAATGAACTCTTCTGCCTACCACTACTTTGTTGTTTTTACATTCAAAATTCCCTGAAAGTTTGTGTTAAATGTGAATTTTAATATGTACTGTTTGTATTTATATTGATGTATAGTGAACTGAAGATAGTTATAAACTGAAGTAGATTCTTGAAAACTGCCTAAAGAGCTTCTATGGATGGAGGATTATTTTTCCCCTGTGTTTAGAAATATAAAATATAGGTAAGGTATTTAATCAACATTTTTGGTAATTCTAGTTATCTCTTTTTTGGTGGGGCATTGCTTTTTGTTTTAGTTTTACTTTCTCTCTACTACTACTACTACTAAATGTAGACTATTTACAGTATCTATAAAGCCTTTTCTTTGATCTCTTAGAAGGTAGTTCCTTTATAAAATAGTTAAATAATTCTTACTAGTTAAATTTTTCTTTCCATAGATTGTTACTGCCAAGAATACCTCTTCCAAATAGCACATGTTATTTGTTAGACAGAATTGTATTCAAAACACTGAAATGTGAGTAAAGGGGTAGGTTTCAAGGGGTAGGTTTTGTTGGTAATTTGGAGGATTTGAAATGGTCCATTCTAACTACTTAGTGACCACTAGATTCTTTCTTTCTTCTCTCTCTCTCTCTAAATGTATTTATTCCTTTGTTTTTCTTATTGGCAAAAACACAGAAGTCACACAATAGTTTTTACATTAGCCTTAAAATAAGCTTAAACTATTTAGCAGTCAAATAAAATGAGTAAAATAATATTCCTTTCCTAACACTGACTTTTCTTCCATCTCTCTTTTATTGGTTTACCTCCAGCCAAGCTTTTCTCGTTTGAAAGTCTCCCCATCAACTCCAACAAACTAAGTGATTCAGTAACTTGGACTCATGAGTGCCTCTGCTCTTTACCTTTACTTAGTCTGCTTTTGACCCAGAATTCTCTTCTCACATCCGAGAAGGTAAAATGCCACCTCTCTTTCAAAGCTTAGTTGAAGGCTATCTTTTTAAGAAGCCTTCCTTGGTGTCTCAGGCTAAGCTCACCTGTTTTACTCTAGCATTCTTGCAACTGAGGACACATCTAACTAATGATACCCCCCTTTTTAAGGGGATGTATTAAAGATGATTGTGTAAAGTACCTAGCAATGACTATCTCCTTAAAAATGGTAACTCTTGTTATAATTACCACTCATCATAATTAATTATATAGAGAGCTTATCTCTCTATCTATCTAAATCTATATCTGATTTATATCAGATTAATCTTGCATGTCTAGGCATCCAAGAAAAATTTGCTGCACAAATGAGCACACACAATGAGCTCTAATTCATCCCTAAAACAACATAAAAAGAAAATGATTTCTTGTGGGTTTCTTTTGTCATTATCAACCTGCTGCATAACCCAGCAAACACATGATTTCCTCAGTTTATGCAACCAATATATGGTCATTTAGAAAATTCAACCAATGCAGAAAAGGAGTAAGAATAAGATTAATCAAAATCCTACTGATCACAGGTAACTCTTGTGAACTTCTAGATATTTACAGAAGAGAGACTTAAAGAAAGATGATCATACCATAAATGTTTATAACCTGCTTTTTACACAATGAGTCATAGATGATTTTCCATGTTTATGTATTTAGGTACATAAATCTATTTATTGCTTTGGGGTGTCACACTTTGTTAAGGCACAAATGTTATCATAATTTCTTTTTCCAAAATGTTAATGTTATGCAGGAATGTGAGAATGATTAACACAATGGGGCATTATCACTTAGTTCCTACTCAATTTTTTTGATCATGAAGACTTGGTGGGGAAGTATAAGGAGGCAATGCCTCAGAAATTGGACATAGGTCTACTAGGTCTGTAGACCAGGTAAACAGTGACTACAGGAAACTGATAAAAGGGGAGGCCAGTACAAAGAATGAAGGAGAATTGATCAATATTGGAAATGGGCTTATGTAGGTTCCTGATTTGGGAAGTCCCTGTCTGGGACTTTGGACTATGTCAGTCCTCTGTCCAAGCCTATGCCAAGTTCAAAGGTGCAGGTTCCGAAGCTGTCCCTAGCAGAATGACACTGATGCATTACCCAATGCTGGCCAAACAACCAACCAAGAGGAAAAGACAGAGGAAGTAGGTAAAGAAATGAAGTCTGTTGAATATTTACTATGCAGCATGCTATATGCTCATACAAAAAGGTGTTTGACAAAATTTATTACCCATAATATTTTTTTTCACAAAACTAGGAATAAAAGGGAACTTCCTTAACCTGGTAAAGGACATCTAGGGGAAACCTATGCCCAATATGTTACTTTCTGGGATGGGTTACATGTACATCATCTTTATTCTTCTAATGATCCTTCACTTTCCAGATGAAGGAGGTAAGGACTGAAAAGATCAACTAACTCATGTAAAGTTACAAAATCAGTAAGTCAGAACATTCTAAGAAATCGGTAGGCTGTAATCAAGAAAAATTCTAATCTTTCAAAGTCTGTCTAGAACTCTAAAATCTTGTGTAACTTCTCCCTGCCTTGAAGTTTGAGTTTGATAATTAGGGACATATCTGACACCAAATAATGTCAGATTCACTCTGGAGACTGCAGCAGGCTGTTTATCAGATATGATTTGGGGATGCCATTTAAAGGGAATAAAGATGAAATGGATGGACCAGGATGAGTCGCCTTTAAATGTTCACTCATTAATTTATTCAATAAATGCATATTGAACTTCTACTCTGTGCCTGCACAAACAGTTAGTTACACGTTGGAGCTTCCATTTAAGAGGCAGGTAATATTAATGGGATAGTGACACAATCAAGTGTAACATCACAACTTTGACAGACAACTTTAGCAGAAAGGGGTAGCATGGGAGAGGATTTTACCTAGTGTGTGAAGTCAGGAAAATGACCAATGATCTGAGATCTCAAGGAAGGAAGAGCTTAAGTTTCCTGCAGCAGGAGCAAGCAAGAGGAATGGAAAGAGGACAGAGAAGTGTCACTGCATAGAGACCATGAACAGCCTAGAGCCTGGGAGTTTGTTGTCACTACTGATGGTGGTTCTACACATATAGCAGTGTGGAAAGTTTTCCATTTGAGCAGGGGGAGTACATGTGAAGATCTGCAGAACTGAAAACTGATCAGTATTTACCAATTTGTGCAGCTGCCTAGGATGGTTTAAGCATCTTTTTATTATCTTAAAGGCTCATTGTTTAATGTCTGCCTGGCCACACAGTACTGGCTGTGTTTGGGGCTCTGTGGCTAGTTCTGTGGTCTCAGTGATGTGTCTACCCGGTAGGAGTCCCTGTGGAGATTTCCCTGTGAGTCTGCAGAAGTAAGTACACTGGAGTCAAAGGAGAAGGGTTCCCTTATCTGTATATTCCATGCAGTGAGGTGGGAGAGATTAAGTGCACCTCATATGACTTCTTCCAATGGTCCTGTTATCTCTACTTTCCAGATGAAGGGTAGTTCTGTTCACACTCCCCATCACTAAAATCAAGCCTTGACTTCTCCAAGATTTTAAAATCATGAAAAACTAACAAAAATTTAAATCTGAGGATCTAGAGATCTAGGGATACATTGGGTCTAGAAAGTCTTCTACCATGGTTCCTTGACTTGGTGGTTATTGCATAGCCCTAATGACCTTGTGCCCCTGCCATAGATGAGTAAGTTAACATTGATTAGGAGAAAAAAACTCTCAGTCCTAAACCAAAGGCCAAAGTGCAAAGGACCAGTCAGTTGGTCCTTCAAATACACCAGTGAAGAGTGAAGCTAGCGCAACACAAATCCATCACTGAAGGATGCACGAAGGCAATGAGAGGAAATCACCCTATGCCCACAAGCTACGCTTTACTTCCAGATGACCACAGGGTGGCAGTGTTTCCCCAGTACTGAATCAAACCCTGCTTGTGTAAAAGAATCTTACGGAAACATACAAGTTATTTCATATTTTGATTAACTCTTTTCCAACAGATTATCAAACAGCAAAGAGCAAGTCAAGGATTGGATCCTGAAGTAGGCAAGTTCATGTTCAAATTCTAGCATTTCCATGAATTAACTATATAACCTTGGATTTAATACCTCTAAATTTTGGTTTCCTCATCTATAAAATGAAGATATAACTCATTGGTCCTTCATAAAATGTGTGGCATAAGAAGAAGATATATGTGTGAATGTAATAAATTATAGTTTACACTGGTTCTAATGCATTATAATGTAGATAAGAATTGCCTGAGGACATTTTTTAAATGCATACTTCTACTGGTGATGTAGTTCAGTGGTAGAGCACTTTCCTAGCATGTTCTGATGCTCTGGGTTTGACATCCAGCACTCTAAAATGCATACTCCTAGGTCCAGATATAGTTCAGTAAGTCCATCACCTTGTGTTAAAATCTGCATATTGCTGCATATTAATCTGAAGTTATCACTATGTGGAAGGCCCATGATCTCTACTATTTTTAGGTTAACTGAGGGCAGAAATTTATATTTTACTTATTCTCTTACATTCATAGAAAGTACATGGAAATGGTTCTTGGGTGATAACAACCTGGGACAATCTGTAGCTGTCCTCCAGCTACTACTGTTCCCCCAGCACTGTCAACTCATTCATAGGTATATTCAGGTAATATTGACAGACTCAATAGAATCATCCTTGGACCCTCACAAGCTCAATTTTCTTCTAAGCAAATAACCCAGTGCCTTCTGGTAAAGGTAGGAGCATGGGTCTCACTCTGCTGATACAGCCAGTCAAGCAAGAGGTGTAGCAATGAAGTTCCACAAACCTCTTGGAATTCTTCATCACCATGGTTCTACATCAGGCTTGTTGACTAGTGCTAACTGGGTTTTCATGATCTCCAAGCAAAACTGAACCCTGCTACTCATCAGAGGGTGTTTCTTGCTCTACTGTTGCCCCAGAAAAGAAGGTCTGATTTCAGGGTGAGTATAATAAGAGAGACATGCAGTCTGGCCCTTGGATCTGTGGCCAGTGTACAATAGCTTGAATGTCTTATCCTTAGCACCTGGATGTGGGTGTTCAAATACCATCATAGGTAACATCAGTCATGGCCATTAGCAAAGTTTTTAGAAGAAACTGCAGAAACTTGCTTCACTTGGGCTTTATTCATACTTCATACTGATCAAGAAAAGAGGATGTTTACATTGAACTACAGGATTTTTAGTCTTTCTGTAAATATTTGTTGGACAACTCTTAATTATTCGAGCTTGGCACCATTATAGGTACTTAGCTAAAGTGTTAATAAAATTTCCAAAGACTTTGCCATTTTGGAGCTGGAATTCTAGGAACAGGAGACAGACAGGGAGTACACATAATGATTGCATAAGACATTATGTGTTAGAAGACGATGAGCACTGTAGTGAATGAGCACTTAACAGGGAATAGAGGGGTCGGGGCAAAAGCAGAGAGGAAAAAGCAAGGAACAGACAGGAGAGGCCTCAGTGGAATTGAGCAAAGGCTTGCAGAAGAGTGGTCCCAATGGCCAGAATGGCTAGAACAAGGCCCTAGAGCCAGAGCAAGCAGGACACATAAAAGAAACAGCAAAGAGGTCAGTGTGGCTACAGAGGTCAGTTTAGATCAGAGGGAGGAGTGAAAGGTAATGAAGTGAGAGAGGTAATGGGATCCAGACCACATACATCTGGTTCTAACTATTAGAGGTCGAGACCTCACTAGAAGCATGTTTGTGTCCTCAT